GACCGCAAAATGGCAGAGATCAGAGCCGCTACAGCCAAAGATGAGCAGCTCTCATGCCCCTTTCACACCGGCGCTTTTCCAGCTCCTGCTGGGAGCTAGAGCCTGAAAAGCGCCGGTTTTTCCTGTTCACACCGCAGCGGCGGCGCGTCATAGCTCCGGAATGCGGTTCACTTCCAGCTCCAAAAAATTGTCGGTCCAGAGGCAAGAGCTTCGGAGCTATGACGCGGCGTCGCTTACGTCTCTTACGTCGAGGCGTGCAGGAAACCTTACTTTGACCATCCGTTCGCTGTTATTGATCATTGTGGAGATACATGGGCTGTACAGGTTGTCATGTCCGACTATCAGAAGTAGAATCATAATGAAAAATACGCCGGTAAAATGTGCCTGTAGAAAACGGCTTAGCAAGTAGTCAGTTTAGCTTCGGTTGCTATGCTAACATCACCCATGTTATACCAGAGAAACTTTCATAACAGCGTTGTGATGCCAAACAGCGTCAATTCAGACTGACACACATTCACTTAAGGGGAACTGGGGATATGTATCAGCTGCTTGTGTGACAGTCAGACAGTGAATACTTTAGAGCCGTGTGAGCTAACCCGGAGCTAACGGGAGAATAAACTCCCGTGGAAGTGCAGCCAGCACTGCAGCGGTCGGTAAATGCCGCTGAAACACATTAATAAACAATGAACCACGGCACTCTGGAGAAAAGTATAAGGTTGGAGAAGTCGTTATTTAATTTAATCTGGCTTCGTATGATTAAAAGCAACACGACCCGACGCAGTCCCCGGCCCGTTGTTGTTGTGGGAGAAAATCAGCGACGTAAACTGTGACGTCATGACGCAGCAGCGGCAGCTCTGGGCAGTGTGAACAGAGCGGGAGCTGAAAAGGGAAACGGGAGCTGAACCAGAAAAGCTCTCGCGAGGAGCTAGAAAGTGAAAAGCGCCGGTGTGAAAGCCGCATCAGTGCTGAGACAGGTGATCCAAGCAGGGTGGCCCGAGAAAAACAAAAAATGTCCACCTGCAGTCTCAGAGTATTGGAATCATAGGGATGAGATATCAGAGACAGATGGCATCCTACTGAAAGGAGAGAAAATCATCGTGCCGCACTCACTCAGGGCTGAAATGCTTTCACGCATTCACACTGGACACTTAGGGATGGAAAAGTGCAAACAACGTGCAAGAGATGTGCTGTTCTGGCCAAGGATGGGTAAGCAGATAGAGACATTAGTAGGGACCTGCAGTACCTGCCTTGAGCGACGCAGCTCACTCCCAAAAGAGCCTATGATGTCACACCCAATCCCAGAACAACCTTGGCAAGTAATAGCCACTGATCTGTTCACATGGAACAGTACTGACTATGTAGTTGTAGTTGACTATTATAGTAGGTTCTTTGAGGTAGAAAAAATCACCAGCCTCACCTCCTCAGTAGTCATCCAAAAGCTGAAGGCCATGTTCGCTCGATTTGGAATACCGCAGACACTAGTCAGCGATAATGGACCTTGCTACAGTTCACAAGAGTTTAAAACTTTTGCTCATGCATGGGACTTCAAGCATGTCACAAGCAGTCCTCTGTATCCACAGAGCAACGGGCTAGCAGAAAAAACAGTTCAGACTGCCAAAGCTCTCATGGACAAAGCACACGCTCAGAGAACTGACCTGTACCTCAGCTTGTTGGAGTATAGAAACACACCAGTGGATGGTTTGAAATCGCCAGCGCAGCTACTCATGAGCAAGCGTCTGCGTTCCATCCTTCCCACCACTGAAAAGCATCTACAACCAGAGCTTGCCTGTCACAGCACCGTTCACAGCAGGAGAAAACAGTGTCAAACACGACAAAAACAATATTATGACAGGAATGCCAGATCACTGCCTGCACTACCAGTGGGAGCCACGATCCGCTTCCAGCTTCCAACAGGGACATGGAAACCTGCAACAGTAGTCGAGCCAGCAGGTACCCAGAGATCCTACAACATCTGCACGGACGGAGGTCACAAGTTTCGGCGCAACAGGCGTCACCTTCTACAAACGTGTGAGAGTGACACAGATCAGGAGACTCCATCAGACGAGCAGTTGGAGCCTGAGAACACTGAGACTTTGCAGCAGGACACTGAGAAACGCAATTGTCCCACACAAACATACTCCTTGTCCCACATTTGGTTTGTTGGGACCTGGTCACCCTAACTACGAAGCCGTTTTTTTTTCCGGTTAGCGAAGGTAACTTCAGTGTTAACTCAGGGTTTCCGGTCCTACGACGCTGGTTCACTTCTTACCGGGGTAGATCTCCATGGTAACTTATGCTGAACACCAAACCTGCTCCAGAGTTCCAGATAAGAGATCAACTCAGTGAAAGCACCGCCTGCTGACCAATCAGAGCTCAGTGTGCGGAGTTTAAAGCGATCAATTCATATTACAGGATAAAATAAATACAGTTTAAACTGCCGTATGCAGGAAAGAGGTCTGGCAAAAATCACCTACTGTGTGAACATGAACATTTACTGTATAGAATATCACCTCCCATCTTCAGAGCAATCTGACTATTATTACATTAGCGTTAAGAAAGCTTACTTAAATATCTGCCACAACATAAGTAACCGGAGCAAAGTAACATTACGTACAGTCCGCGACACTGTGAGTGCAGACATCGATGTGTCCCATTATCATTCATATCAGATCATATCACATCATAATGTATCATATATTTCCTTATCTGAGTCAGCTTCTCGAGCCGTATCTGGCCGTGCAACACTTACATTGTCACACACTGTATGCAGAAGTATTATTTAAAACAACACATTAAGTTGAAGAAACACTCGAGTCAAATGTAATTAAAGTCAGATCCACTCGTGTCTTAGACGGGCCAGTGATATCATAAAACTGTTAATGTACGCCAGGGGCGTCGCCTGGACCTGAAAACATTCGGGGCTTAGCCCACAGTGGCAGCGACACTACAGTGGCATTTTTTACTGCAACACTCCCCACACGCACACACACAGTACACCCGCGACTGTTACAATGAAGGCTCGATAATCAGCTCACGGCATATAGGCAGGGGTAAAGTGGTTTTATGAGTGGGGGGCGGACCTAACCTCCTCTAGGGGGGTCCGGGGGGATGCTCTCCCGGGAAGATTTGTTTTTAAAATTTGAAGTTAAATGCATCAATCTGGTGCACTTTGAGAGCAAAATGAAGAGATCTATGGATACCTCTCTCAACACCCATATGAAGCAGAACTGTAAACAGATGTACTTTTTCTTCATGGATATTTTACTAATCACTCCCCTTTTAAACTCTATTCTTGTTTTACTGCCATATAGTATTTCATAACTGTTTTTCCTTTATTCTCTTATTTTTTTTATAACTATAATGATCATATGAAGGTGTGCCGCGGAAATAATCTTTTGAATAATTTGTGACTAAACCGTTTGAGACCCACTGAGATAACTTAGACTAAAGTTAAGTATCTAAACACTCAGAGAGACCTTTAGCTCACCTGAGTCTCTCAGTCTGAGAGGAGAGGACTCTCCTCCAGCTTGTTGTGGAACAAACAGCTCCTTATGTCCGTTAGTGCGTTATGTCCCCCTCTCTCTTTCTCTCTCTCTCTCTCTCTCTCTCTCTCTCTCTCTCTCTCTCTCTCTCTCTCTCCCTCTCTCTCTCCTCAGAGCTATCGTCTCTACATCTCTCCTCTCTCTCCTCTCTCTCTCTCTCTCTCCTCTCTCCTCATCTCTTCTCATCCAGTCTCTCTCTCTCTCTCTCCTCTCTCTCTCATCTCCTCTCTCTCCTCTCTCTCTCTCTCTCTCTCTCTCTATCACACTAAATGCGCTATTGCCACACACACACAGAGCCGAGCTTGAATGACACAAGCACACGTTTATTTCCATGCAACTCTCTGATTGGTCTGGTGTCATGCCTCTGTTGCATTCACTGAACACGGGAAATTACAGTGCTGCCGTCCTCTCGTGTCATGATGAGGTTCACGTAAAGCACGGTTAATGTATTATATTATTGAGGGAGAATTGTCCGGGGCTACAGAAAAAACATTCGGGGCTAAAGCCCCGGATGCCCAGGCCAGGCGACGCCACTGATGTACGCATTCAACCAGCTGTTCTTCCTGCACCTTGCAGGTCCAACTATGTTGCTTTTATCCTGGATAAAGTGTTTAAGTTATGGATGTTTAAAGTTTAACTTATTCGTATTTGTCTAACGTGATAGTTTACTTTTCATTCAGGAAGTATGACGCTGCGCTGTCAGTACACTTGTCCCTGTTTGTGATTGGTCAAATGTTGATAACCCCGCCCCTTTCACGTGAACGCGCTCTCAGCCGGAAAGAGAAACCCTGGGTTGATTTACCGAGTTGATAACCAGCGTCGTAGGACAGCTTAGCGAGATGTCGTTTGTTAGGGTTAGTTAAGCCGGGTAACTCAAACATATCCAGGGTCTGTTGAACTGGCTTCGTAGTACAGGGCACTGCTCCATTAGTATTCGAACCTGTGTGTCCTATCTATAACAGAAAACCTGTTCATATTTCCTTGGGTGAAACTCCCAAGGTGGCTTGTCGGAATTGTGAATGGTGTAATCAGTGGCGATCCTAGAGTCGGTGGGGGCCCTAGGCAAACATTGCCCCTCGAACCAGCTTTTCATCACCACGCACAGCTAACAGCAAAACTTTGGGCCCCCTTCTGGTCCGGGGCCCCAAGCAGTTGCCTGCCTTGCCTGTTCACAAGGAGTGCCCCTGGGTGTAATCAAACCAACTTTAAACAAATACATTCACCTATCCTCCCCACTGCGGCTACTGCCACAATAATAAGGTTTTTGGATGCCTGTGGACAAATATTTAGAGTTTCAAAAAACATGTTTTGGGTAAATGCATTGTATCCAAATTCAAATGTTTTCATGAAAGAAGGTTCACAATGCACAGCCAGTGTCAGCATTGTTTTGTTTTGCTGCGTATTGGAGCCTTCATTCTGTAAATTAAGAGACTCAAATGTGTTTATTTTTCCAAACAGTCTCCACAGGTGACCATGGCTGAGTACAAGCTAGAGATAACAACGGGTGATCTGCAATATGCAGGAACATCGGACTACATTTATGTCACCTTATTTGGAACTGAGGGGCAGAGTGAGCGAACTTTGATGGACAACTATGGCTTCGACTTTCAAACAGGGGCAGTAAGTGAAACCCAGTTAAACATCTGCACTTGTCTGTACATAACAGATTGCATCATCAAGTAAGCACTTTAGATTTTAAGTCATAATTTAGTGCAAGACTTAGCGCAAATGTATACCACACTAGTTCAACACCTGTAAAATACCGTAAACCCATATTGATCTTTACTACAGTAAGCCACATTTTTGTAATGAGTCGCCAAATCCTTTAACGTGTGATCTATGTGACGTTAACTGCTATAACTCTTATACTCTCAATGTGAAACACTGATATAAACACAATCTAATGGCCTTTTACATTTATGGTACAGTCAAATGATACATTTAACTTTAGTGGTGAGAGTGAGAGGACTCATTTGAAATAAGCCACTATTATAAAAGAAAAAACCTTAATATTAACAGACTGGGCTCTGGTATTCTATACTGTACATTTCAACCCAGCCAGTTGACGTAATGGGCTATCATCACATGTAATACAATGCTGACCACTTTAAAAAGATAATCTGGTTTTGGCTGAGGCTTCTAATAATCTGTATCATAATATAATAATTATTCTTATTCTTATTCCAAGCCAGGGAGCTACACCTTGAAAACCAGTTTTTCTCTGGGCAAACTTCTGCTGGTTAAGGTTGAGAAGGACCAGTATTTATGTCTCCCAGAGGATGAGTGGTACTTCTCCAAAATGGTGGTGACGACTCCAGAAGGAGATGTTATTCTTTACCCCTGTTACAGATGGATTGGCAGGGGAGAAATGGTGGAGCTGAGAGGAGGGAGAGGTCTGCATCAATGTCCCCAAATAACTGATTAATATAGATATTATTATTGTCAGTTTTTTTACATCTTGTTGGCTTTGTACATTTAAATTTGACTGCTATAATGTTCTTTTCATGTCTCAGCAATGAAAGCTGTTGAGGATGATCACCCCCTGTTGATTGACCACCGAAAGAAAGAGCTGATGCTCAAAAAGAGCTTGTTCCAGTAAGTTTCCATGTGTGCAGTAGAGCTGCCGTTTGTCGCCAAAGTTTATCTGGAGAAATGTCTTTGTGCTTTTGGGTAACTTTGTTTGTTTTATTAGATGGAAGAGTATGGGTGAAGGACTACCCCATTTCAACAGTTTCAATGACGTGTCTGAGCTCCCAGCTGAAATCAGCTACTCCGATTCCAGAACAGCTGACATCAATTACTCAAGAAAAAAAATGTGGGTCAATATATGTCATTAAATGTGTATATATTTATTATTATATAGCTCTATTCTTTAGATTTCTATATATTGAGGGAAAGGGTAAATTGCCATTCATTTCTGTATGTTGTTTATTCCTGTGTTCTAATTATTCCTTGTTTTACTTCAGTGCTATTGAACTCAAGGTTAAGGGGCTGCTAGGATCTACTGCAGAATGGGAAAGCATTGAAGACATAAAAAAAATATTCTGTTTTAAAAAGACAACAATATCAGGTATTTTCTTTTTATCCCAGTAACCAGTTGTCAGTGTAACTCACCCCATCTATGTCATGGTTTCATAACAACAGATAGATATTCAGTAGATGTTTTTCCTGTTCTGTAAAATGTTTTGTTTTCTACAAAGTTAAGTATTTCTGTAAAAGTTAAAATTATTTAAATACCTGACCAACATTCTTGCTTTACAGTCAATGACAATGATGATTTTGTTGAACCTGAAACCCCTAAAAACATTTTAGATAAATGATATTATATTATTTATTAAATGTACCAATTGTTATTCTTATTAAACCCAATATATAATTATGTTATATTTTGTATATATCAATTGCTATTCTTCCAGAGTATGTTGCAGACCACTGGATGGAAGATGACTTTTATGGATATCAGTTCCTGAATGGAGTCAACCCTGGTGTTATAAAGCGCTGCTCAGAGCTTCCCACAAACTTCCCGGTCACAGAGGAAATGGTGAAGCCGTTCCTGGAAGAGGGAAGCTCTCTGCAGAAGGAAATGGAGGTATGAGTGAAGATTAACTTTAAATGGATAATAATCTTTGTTTTCAGAATCACGATGTGTCCATTTACCATCCCTCTGTCATACTTCCTTGACTTATTACAATTCTGCGATACCTCTCGATGTTTTAAACACTTCTTTCTGATGTCTTTCCAGAAAGGCAACATGTTCCTTTATGACCAGAAGAAGATGGATGGAATTCCCCCTGCAGCCTATAATGGTGAACCTCTGCACGTGACTGCTGGTCTCTGTTTGCTCAACGTGAACCCAGAAAACAAACTGATGCCAATTGCAATACAGGTACTGTAAAATCAATTTAAAAGCCAGCATGTAATGTTATGGGTCTTTACCATGGTCAGTCTATGGAAAACCGTCTTTGAGGTATCGTAAAGGGAGAGTTAATAATCAATTTCTTATCAATTTCCAGTTGAATCAACAACCATCTGAGAAGAACCCCATCTTCCTGCCCAGTGATCCAGAAACTGACTGGCTGCTAGCCAAGATGTTCATAAAAAATGCAGATTCCATGGATCACGGATCAGTCCATCACTTCATGAGAATTCACCTTCTGGCAGAGGTTTTCGCTCTTGCAGCTCTCCGCAGCTTCCCTGTGATTCACCCAATGTACAAGGTATAAGTACTCCACACAACAGAGGTAGTGCAGGTTTTTTGTATTCCCTTGTTCTGAAATAATGCTTATCATTTTTATTGATTGATTTTCAGGTACTATAATAGAGATGGTTGATAGTAAAGCTGAGACATTTTCAAAATAAAAAGAGAAATGCTTGCAAACAAGTTCCCTTGATTAAACCCAATGACTTTGCGAGGTTGAATGCAACGTATGTGACAATGCTGAGATTAACGTAACACAACATGTGAATTCCAAAGGAAACTACTGTACTCTAAGAAATACCTTTTTGAAATGCTTGCCAGAGGCCAGAAGTGCAAACAGGTTATGGCTGGGGGTGAGAGGTATCCGTAAAGATGTTGCACACATCTAAAACACATCTTTTGAAACATGAAACAAGGGGTTACTTATGGTAACCCTTGTTATATAAACACAGGCGGATCCCTCTACTGGACTCTATGGGTACTTCCCCTTGATCCTATCATGCAAGCATTCATCCACTGAGACTTTCTAGGCGTAGCCGGCCCCGGGGCGGGCCTACCTGAATGCCCGAGCATCTCACCGTATAAAAGGAGGCCTCGCCTCCTGACTGTCATCTTACACTTCTCTTCAGCAAGCAGCATAGGACAGACAGGGCCCCTGAGTAGAGGGCTCCGCCTGTGTTTATATAACAAGGGTTACCATACGTAACCCCTCGTTATATCTCTCACAGGCTCCGCCCTCTACTGGACTCTATGGGTACAGTGGGCGGAGCCCCGATGTATACACGCGCTGTCGTCCCACAACAACACTGTTCCATCTCACTGTTTCTGACCGGCTTTCTGGTTAGCAGCCGCTGCGCCTCACTCACCTCTCCCTCGGTCGTAACCGTGGAGAAAATTGAGGCTGCGGCTGACAGAGCACACCCTGACGCGCTTACCCCACGGAGGTGTGCTATGACGTGGAGGACTCCCCCCCCCATGCCCTTAAGCAGGGGGAAAGAGTCCTCCAGCCCCTATGAGCCCATGTAAGCGCATTACGCCCGGGGAGGGGGTCAGATGCCCACTGACCCACAGCCCCCCTCCCTCCTCACCAGTCCTGCGTTGCCCCAGCAAGCACAGACGATGAAAAGGAGCCAGACATGTCCAAGAGATAAAACTTTATGAAGGGGCCTGGCGTTGACCAAGACGCCGCCGTGCATATGTCCTCCACACTCACTCCGTTAAATAAAGAGGTGATCCGGGGACCCCAGAACCGGAGGTTGCCCTCCACTGAGGGCGGGATGGTCACCAGACACCGTTTGTGTCTCTTGAGATCTAAACGCAGGCTGGAGAACCACCTCTGCAGGCGGCGCATATGCAGTAACCCCAGCGGGACCACAATGTGAGCAGCCGCCATGAGACCCAGGGTCTGCATGATAGTCAAAGCTGTCACTGTTGCCCCCTGTCGCAGTCTGCAAACTGCCCGAAGCAAGGATGCCTGTCTGCTCTCTGACAGGGTGGCGCGTAGCCTGCCTGCATCGAGCACCACTCCCAAATACAACGCCTGTTGGTGAGGTATGGGGGAGCTTTTCTTCCAATTGATCGCAAAACCCAACTTGGTTAGGTGTAGGATCAATTGGGCTGTGTAAAACATTGCCCGTTCCCTGGACCTGGCCATAACTATGAGGTCGTCCAGATAAAAGAAAACTCTCATGCCACGGCCGCGCTGCGGCTGGAGCGCTGTGGCCACATATTTGCTGAACGTGCGTGGGGACAGGGAGTATCCGAACGGTAGTCTGCTGTACTCGTAGGCCACCCCCTGGAAGGCAACACGCAAATACTTTCTGTGTTTCGGAGCAATCTCGACATGAAAGTAAGCGTCCTTCAGGTCGATGGTTGTAAACCAATCGCCTGGCTGCGCCAGTCCCAGTAACTGTTTTATAGTAAACATCCGGAATTTTCTGCGTGCAATGTGGAGATTCAGACTGCGAAGATCCAGAATGGGCCTGAATTTGCCTGTCTTTTTGGGAACCAGGAAGTACAGGGAATAATGCCCCCCCCCCTCTCTGTCTTGCGTGCGCACAGCAGACACTGCCTGTTTTTGCACCAAGGCCTGAACCTCTGCTGAGAGAAAACCTATCTCCCCTTGGGATGATAGCTTTGCCTCTCTTATGCCTGTGAACAGAGGAGGGATGCTGCAAAACTGGAGTGAATAACCCAGTCTCAGCGTCCTGTCCATCCACTCCGTTAACACGCAGTTGCGCTTCCATTCCCCATAACACTGTGTTAGAGGATGTGCAATCAGCTGTGGGGCCCCAGCGATAAAGCTGTGGTACTCTCTGGCAACCTGTCCCGCCGCAAAACTCCCCGCGAAGGGAAGCTCTGCCCATGGGGGGTCGACACAGAAAGGGCCGACTCTCTACTGAGGACCTTGAACGCACCGCGGCGCGCTCTCATGGGAGCCCGCGCTCCGCCATGATGCTTTCACCCAAACAGTGAAATGCATCAAACTGAGTTTTTACACTCTGCGTTAAATGTTTTCTAACCCTGCTACGCCGGCAATAATGTCCCTGTACCCGTATAGCACAGTTTATCACTCTCACCCGCGCATGAAAGGGCGCGGGTGAGACACTCCGTGTCCGAGTGGTCCTGCACTCTGAGGATTCCGGCCCATGTCGCCACCGGAGCCTTCGTTCTCAGTGGCTGTCGCCAAGTGGCCTCCACACACCGCCAGATGTCTGGCAGGGGGGGTGAAACGAAGAAGCCCTGACGTAGGTGGCTCACCGGCCTCGGTGGCAGCGGTGGGGGGAGCGGCAAGCCTGCACGCTCCGCCGCCATAGTCATCACTCAGTCCTGTTGCGCAGACCTGTGCTGCTGGCCTTCCTGGCGGTCGCCGGAAACATCAGACGACGAGGTGTCGCCATCGTCGTCCCTCTCCCCGACGAGCGGACCCGCCCGGTTCGCTGGTATGGCGAACACGAAGGGCACTCCTTCCTCGAGGTCCTCCATCTCCACCACGTCGAGCTCTGGGTCCCTAGAAAGTCTCAGTGGATGAATGCTTGCATGATAGGATCAAGGGGAAGTACCCATAGAGTCCAGTAGAGGGCGGAGCCTGTGAGAGATATAACACAACTTTAATGTGTGTATTACATGTGTGTCTCACTGTTTTTGTATATTTGATTGTACTTGAAGATCGTTTTGTTATTTGTCATTCACTATTTTTTTGGTTACTTACTTTTCACAGATCGTCTGAGGAAACTGGTTTTATGAACCATTATTTTTGTATGTATTGAAGAAATCAAACTTTTAATACAAAAATTGTAATTGATTTCAGTTGTGTTTGCTTATAGGTTCCTTCAGTTACCCTGGTGATGTTCTGCCTGTTGTCTGCTGAATCAAGCATCTTATTTGGACTTTTATTTATTTTTTCTCTGTCTGTTCAGCTGCTGTTTCCTCACTTCCGGCACACTCTTTACCCAAACATTAAAGCCCGCCTAACTCTATTCGGACCTGATGGTATTTTAAGTAAGGTAAGGCTTTTTAAAATTGATATATTTATTACAATTATAAATAAAATAAAATTCATACCACACCTTGCAGCTTAGATTAGGCCGTTTTGGATGGTTTCTAATTTGATGTCAATAAATGTGTCTGATGGTATATGTGTATTTTTGATTTGTTAGAGTTCACTTGGACGTGATGGAATACATGAGCTCATGAGAAGGGATCTCTCTGAAATGACCTACAGCTCTCTCTGTCTGCCGGAGAACATCGCTGCACGAGGACTGGAGTCTATCCCCAACTTTTACTACAGAGATGATGGCCTGAAGCTGTGGAACATCATCCAAAGGTTTTACCTATTCATAGATATTGTGACTGTCCACAGTGATTCATTGTACAAACACCATTAGAGACTTTCTCAGGCACTCATAATATTAAAAATACAACTGTTTTGTGTATACCAGCTTTGTGAAGGCAGTAGTGGAGCACTATTATCCCTCAGACTGTGAGGTGCATAGAGACACTGAGCTGCAGGACTGGATCAGTGAGGTCTTCACACATGGCTTCTTAGGAAACAAAGCATCAGGTATTTGTCCCATATTCTGAAGTCATTTGTAAATATAAAACATATTATAATAGTATATTTGAATGCACATAGTGATACAATATAAACCCATGATGTGGTTATGAACATATTGTGCTGCCAACAGGGTTTCCAGCAGCCTTTCATACTGTCGAGGAAGTGGTCAAGTTCACAACCATGGTGATCTTCACAACGACGGTTCAACATGCTGCCGTACACAGTGGGCAGGTAAATAGTTTAAGTTTGGCAGACCATCCAACTGCTTTCGTTTCCTTTACAATAAACATTCCGTTTGCAGGACATTAGCTGAGCATTACAATGGAGTAAATGTTGCCTTTTCTTCTATAATGTTTTTTTCCATAATTTAGTATGACTACAGCTCCTGGGGCCCCAACGGCACGTTCCTTCTGCGCAAACCTCCTCCAACCACCAAGGGGCAGTCAAGCATGAAGACGGTCCTGGAGACCCTCCCGAATGTTGGCGAGACAGTCAGATTAGCAGCGTTGTTTTGGTTGTTTTCAGACAGATACTCAGACTATGTAAGTTTGGCGTCATAAATACTTACAGAGGATGTCCTATCCTGATGTTTTCTTCTTTTTTACCACAAACTTTCCTTTCTGATTTTATCCTTCTGGCAGATTCCCTTGGGAACATACCCAGAGGAACGATTTGATGAGCCTGAGCCTAAGCAGATGATAAAGGAATTCCAAGCAGCATTGTCGTGCCTCAGTGAAGCAATAACAACAAGAAACGCACATCTTGAACTACCCTACTCATACCTGGACCCTGCGGAGATAGAGAACAGCGTTTCTATTTAAGCAGATCTGCGATTGTATCCATGTATTTCTCATCACCTATTTTACATGCTGGGAGGTCAGTTAGACTTTTGATATAATACATACTGTATAAAAGCTGGGCAGATAGATGAGGTGTAATGGATAATTCACTAGCAGGGACCATGCCAAAAAAGTGTGATGTTTGTAGGTTTATTGCAAGAAGTAACAAATGAATTGATATGGAGGGGGTGATGAGATATTCTGGTCTGGGAGGACGTGCTGTGGGAGACTTAGAGTGGGGGTTCCGTCTCCGGCATGATCTGCTCGGGCTGATTACGGGCCCCCAGATAATTCCTAGAATTAGACATTTTAAAATATACACAAGTTAAATATGAATGGTGACAGGCAGAGGATGTTGGGAAGTAGGGATCAAGGGATGTAGGGATGTAGGGATGAAGGCATGAGGGAAGGGAGGGATGAAGGGATGTTGTGTGGCGCAGTGGATTAGTGCTTTGGTGTTCGGATCAGGGGAGCACAGGTTCAAACCCCACTGCAGTCAGCATGTCGTTGTGTCCCTGGGCAAGACACTTCACCCCAAATTGCTCCTGTGGGGATTGCCCACAGTATCTAGTATGTAAGTCGCTTTGGATAAAAGCGTCTAACAAGTAACATGTAATGTAATGTAATGTTGGGATGAAGGGATGTAGGAATTTGGGATGAGGGAAGGGAGGGATAAATGGATGACGGGATGTATGGATTGAGGGATGAATGGATGTAGAGGTGTATCGCTCAGTAGGAGGTAGAAGGGGAACCGTATGAGTAGATGGTAGGGGGAGGGTGGGTTGAGAGGATGGAGACAAGCTATGGCCGGATGTTTGGCCGGGAATAATTAGAGATGGCCGTGATTAGAGACGGGGTTGGGCATGCTCCTGAACCTAGGTTAACAAGTTAACTTCATTTAGTAAGGTGTTGCTCTGGCCCCTATTTATCGATTACAGGCAAATTGATAACAAAATAGGGTGAATGTTTTCTTTTTTCTTTCTGTGTATTTTGTTGTCTCAGACCTTCTTAACCACTTAAGCCCGATTGCCCCCGCCGGCGGGAAGAAACTCAACTATAAGTAATGTTTTATTTTTAGACGGAAACTATAATTTAAATGTTTTCACTATGTTCAATCTGAATTGACTTTAAAATAAAAACATCTATATTGATTCTGACACTTCCACAGCCAACTCACAAGTGTATAATTGCTTTGAGAAAAAAGTTTATTAATTTACTTTTAGAAGTTAAGATATAGTCATTTGTTCTGGGCATGTCATTTTCGAGCCTGAGGCCTGAAAAACAGGCTCAGGGTTTAACAGGTTAATGTATATTGAATGCAGCTACTGTGTGTTTAACGTTAGTGAAGGTTCCTCTTTCTTTTTCTCTATTAGCAATTAATAAAAAAGCTATTTAACTTCTGCTTGTCTTTAAAATCATTTTACTCAAACACATACCTATACAGTACATAGTAAAACCAGAGACACTGAAAATGCTGCAGTGGTCTCCAGAGCTGTATGTAGATCTACTGTGAGTTCTATTTGTCGAGTTCACTTTGATTTCGCTGATGTTTGATGCACTTTTATTCTGACAGAGTGGGACTTCATTCTTTCTACCTCCTCTTTGATGCAAACCACACTTTTCAAAATACAGTCCGAGTAATTTTAGACTACACCATACAGTCAATATCCCTTTCTCATTTCTCATTTTCCCCCTCCTCGACTCCTCGCCTCGCGTCTTAGTCTCGCCCAAAGGGGATGCGATCGGTGGAGTCGAGGAGGGAAATCGAGGAGAGACGAGTGGAAATAACAGGCGTTTAGAGAATTAGAAATCCTGTCCTGTGAGCGGTCATTTTAAAGCGACGTCCATTAAAGATGAAAGGAGGCACAGCAGCAGTCAGTCTGATTGGCATAACTATGTTCACCAAAATGTATATATTTACTTTCAATTCATTCACAATGTGGTATAGTGAGACAACAACAGGCTGCAGATTTGGATATATATATATGATTTCAGAATCAAACGAGTATCAGAGCACTCATAATAACGTAATACTATCAGAGACTGGATATATTTCCCTCACCTCTCTCTGGTCGCTACAAAGGGGAAAACGTAATTACGGGCCAAACGTTTTATTTACTAACAGTAAGCAGGGGAAACCAACCAACTGAGACCTGTCACATGCACACACACGCACCGACAGCATATCTCAGGCTACAGCCGTTGTGTATTTTATTATGTGAAGTACTAGTGTCTTCCAATTGTTTTTATTTGTATTTCCTACCTATTTAGGGTTAAAAAAAACATCCTGCAATTTAGACTTTTTACATTTTATTTTAAATGTTACGGTATGTCCACTGTAGAGGACGTCAAGGCAAGGCAAGGCAAGGCAAGGCAAGTTTATTTATATAGCACCTTTCAACACAAGGTAATTCAAAGTGCTTTACAAAAATGGAAGACATTTAAAAAATGGCATTTAAAATCAGTCATTAAAAAGAAAAGATAATAAAATAAAAGTAAGCAGAGGCAAGAGCAAGCAGAAAAGCGTCTGCACTGTAAGAAAGATAAGACATAAGCCATATAAGTGTGAAAAGACAGCCACAATTAACAGATAAACTATGTAACATATTATGCTTATAACGTGATATTAATTCAAGAATACATTCACCTTTATTTAAACAATAAATAAGTAATTGTTCTGAACATTGCTGTATATTTGATCACTATAAAACTAGTTTGATTTTTTTACCTCAATATCAAATGCAATGAAACACATGAGCACACACTACAGTTTAAAAAAGCAGAAATAAAATCTAAGTTTACCGTTTTAGTTTAGTATAAGCTCACACAGACTATTTTACAAACATAGGTTCAACAAATGAACCAAAGAAAGTGAAAACCATAAAACAGATTCAGGCAGTAGGCGTATAGATTCACACTTGAAGTATTAGCCTACAAAACAGTACAGTTTACGGAGAAGAAATACAATCTGACCCCTTAGATTTTTGCTCACATGGGTTGTTTTTCCCCCCCCTAATTATCCCCCTAATTATTTATTATTTTTACAGTCAAAACTCACCCAATCATCAGCAGCAGTTTTGGTCATGGATTGTACAGAACCCACCAAAGTTTCTCTTAAACAGAAAATAAACGAAGAGTTTCAGGTTGTAAAAAAATATCATTTGACTATTTCCCTTTCAGTGAATATTTTAAACTGGTAACAAGTAAAACATCAGGTAATACAACCACATCATGTAAACATAATTATTATTATTATCATTATTAATAATATTGTTACCCGTTTAAAATGTTCACTGAAAGGGAAATAGTCAAATTATATTTTTTTACAACCTGAAACTCTTCGCTTATTTTCTGTTCAAGACAAACTTTATTAATCCCAGAGGAGAAGTACATGTTTTACTCTGGTGTTATTCTACAATTACCCGAAATACACACACGTGCACAAACCAGACATGCACTAATGAAGAGGTGGCAGAGCGAAGGAGAGGCACATGTTGAAATGCTTCCATTAAATAATGAATCAAATATTTATATTTTCTTTGATTATAAGAAAATACATTTAAAAATCAAATCACAAACAGTTAAAAATAAACATCAATACAAAAGTTAAGCGTGAATATGCAACCGAAGTCTATAAATAACAACTTTATCACAAAATAATTGCATTGTTAAATGTGATTGAACAGAGAGTATTTGCAATCAATAATGTGTCCTATATTGTTGGGAATTTTAGAGATATATTTCTATTTCTGTATTTTTAGACCCACATATTGTCGTGGCGCATTTTGACCCAAACTGAACCAAAAGGTGCAAAATGTGAACATGGTAAAAGGGTTAGATCAGAGAGTCAAACACACTTTCTGATGGGCAGCAGGTCGATAGAAAGGCAGGGGCGCCCCCTCCTGGGTGCTTTAGCAAAGGCTTAAATCCCTGTGTTCCCTCCAGAGGGAGTTTCTCTCCCAAACACTCCCCCACCCTGCATGAATAAATGTGTCTACGTATATCCTTTATTTAACCAGGTAAAAAGACTAAATTAAAGATTAAAATCTCTTGTCCAAGAGTGACATGGCCAAGAAGGGCATCATGAACAAAGTTACAAAAGATAAAACACAGACAAGACAGGCAGACAAATACAACTGTAAAACACAAATAAAATGGCACATTAGCCAGTCAATATGCGAAATAAAACAAACTATTAAGTAAGATTAATGCAGATCTAGATCCCTCCGCTTCGCGTCGGGCTCCTGATCAGCCTGTCGGTGTTCTTTTCCCCATAATGACCGCGTCGCTGCACATTATCCCGCTTATTACATGGCCACATTCTCAACAAAGTAATGATATGACTCCCACTATTAATTGAAATGCTTTTATGGATTTAGAAAATGATTTTATTGATTTAAAAAATAGTTGTATGTTGTAGTGCCGAGAGATAGGAGTCGGAGGCGGCGCTTCGAAGTAGCAAATGGGAACTTTAATGAGCAGCAGAAACGGACATGTTGTCGGGTCGCAGCCCAGGAAGAGAAGAGAAAGCGAAAGGGAGGAGGACAGAGGCCGTAGCCTCATCCCAATACCCCTCCTCGACTCCTCTCTTCCCCTCCTCCGGGACTTGACCCGGAAATCGATCAAGACACGCCATTTTGAAGGACGTCCCAATAGCTGAAATGCACACGGAGGAGTCGAGGAGGGGTGAGGGAGGAGGGGTGAGGGAGGAGACGAAAGGGAGGATACACGAGAGCAGACTACGCGGAAGTGTTTTCACTACTCGCATATAAAAGCCCCGCCCCCACCTTCACAGCTGGTCGATTTCAACACAGGAAAACGGAGAACTGGAAGAATGAGTGGAAAAGCGTCACATAAATGTATAAGTGCTCACAGCTCCGTGGGAATTATTATGTGCAATTCATTTCTTAAGGTTATACTAACAATTTAAGTCATGTTTAATGATCTTGAACGTCACTAAAACATAGCTATTAAGAAAGCTATTTCATAAATGGCTAGATCTTGATAAATAACAATTATTTGTTTTGTTTTGTGTTAAGATATTCAGGAGTTCAATTATTTAAAATTCACAGTCCTGAATGTGGGTTTGTGGTAAATGTGGGGATCTACAGGACACACATTTTCAGAGTAAAGGCTTTCACATTATTATAATTATAATTTTATTGAAATGTACATTTTACACCAAAACGGAACACAAAAGCAGGACCAACCATCATACATTGAATTCCTTGACTAAAAAGAGAAAGCTTTATCATTTAAATACATATTTAACAATAAATGGGCCGGTTCTAAGGGGTTATTCAGTTAAACCCAATGAGAGGGGATACAGCTGTGCACATGTCATCATTAACAGACGTAGTTTAAGAGTGACGTTTGAGTGAACGAGGACATCCCAATTAATACCTGAGGACTCCTCTGTCCTCGCGT